GGAGCAGGCTGAGGTTCCCCCTATTTTTAGCAATCAGGCTGCAGGTACCTACTTCTCCCCCACTGGGAGAAAAACCTTCAACAAACATCCGTTCACACTAGCCCAATAAATTCCTTAAATAAAACAGCTACATTTTGGCATCCCCCCTCCCGCCCCCTGCCGCACTAGAAACACACGCTCCCTGAGTTTTTAATATCACGCACGTGGCTTGCATAATTTTAACCTGAGTGCATGGTTGCTGTCTTGTTCCGTGAGTCACTGTTTGGGGTGTCAGGATATGGGGGCGTGATGGGAGGGCTCAGCGAATGTGCGGGCCGTGTGCAATCCTGGTGGTCTGCCTCAGGCATAGATTCTCCTGATCTTTGGATAGGGAAGTCAGTTATAGAGAGGCCTGGAGGCCACTGAGATCCATTCCCAGGATCCTCAGCCCACAGCTCCCTCTCCACAACTTCTGCTGTGGCCATCCAGGGTGAGTAGAGCCCGCCTTTCCACCTGCCCGTCAGATCCCTCCCTGGCCTGGCATCTGGGGACTCCTATAACCCCCACCACCATGGCTACGCTCAGCAGGCACACTGAGCCTCCTGCAGCTTCGGGGCACCTGCACCTGTTGACCCCCACCTTAGGGTGCCCCCTCCCCCAACCTTAGGGCTTTACCTCATGACTGGGGTCTTAACTTGCTTCATCTCTGAAAGCCCCACCATCCTGACCACCTTGACTAGGCTGATGCAATCTGTTCCATCCTCTCCTGAGCCTGGTGCCTTCTCCGCCCTCTGCTTCACTTTTACACCAGGCTTTCTGTCACACTGACAGGATGGCTGGCTAGCTACCATCCTTTCCCCCTGAACCCCACAATGCACGGGTGGGTCATTCACCCTCACTGTCTGCCAGCACGGTCTTGGATGTATGTCCACTGAATGAGTGGACAAGCAATCCCTCCCAACTCCAGCTCCCAGCAAAGCTGGTTCCTGCCTTAGATAGAGATGAAGAGACCGAAGCTCAGAGAGGTTAGGGACTTGCCCAGGGTCACACAGCCTGTATGTCAGGATCCTCCCATGTGAGACCAGGGCTGGGAGTACCCCAGCCCTGAGCCCACCCTTCCCTTTTCTCCTCTGAATATGGTGAACACCCCTTCGCGGTGCAGACGGGGAAGAGGCTGAGTAGCATCATTAGCTGGCTGCCGTTGGGCACCGTGCAGTGAGGACAGGTGTTTGAGTGTAGCCCACAGAGAACGGGACAGGAATGACATCCATAAGAGTGTGTCATTGGGGCCATTAACTGACTAGCGGCTCTCTGGTTTGTCGTAAAGTCAGGTTATGATGGGCACTGTTGTCACCACGAAGGACTCAGAAACAGAGGGAAGGACCATTTTAGAACACAGTAAGCTCCAAATGTCTGCCCTCATGGAGGGCAACTCCTTCCATTTGGAAACTCTCCTTACATTCATCCCTTCTCCCGCCACCCCAAATCCATGGCCTGAGACACTGCCACCAGGAAGCCCACCCTGGCTTCAGGCACCTGGGAATGAGGACCCGCGAGCTTCTTAGAAGTGAGCCACAGCATAGCTTCACTTACAAATGGAGCGCTGAGAGGTAGAGGCGGTGTGATGGCGGCGATGGTGACGTCACTGCTTCCACAGTGTCCAATCACTCCATGGTGCTGCTGTCTCTACCCAGACTGCCTCCTTCCATTCAGCTGCCTGACTACTGTCCATCTTCCCCAGTAGCTAATTCAGCCCTGCCATGGCCCTCCCCATTGACTTGGTAGATGGTTCTGGTAGCTTGTGTGTGACTGGGAACCACGCTTGCAAATACAACGGGGGTGGGCTTATCCCCTCCTGCCAGTCATCAGAGACATAGATGGAAGACGTAGATGGAGTCGGGGAGCTCAGTGGATGTGAGTATCACAAGGGTCAGAGAGGCTGGGCCCTTGGAACTTCTTATTCTGCAGGTCTGAGGGAGGCCTCACGCCACCCTGCCCAATGTCTGCTGTGGGACACTGAAAGGGATGCTTTGAGCTGATCCTGACCCCATGGTTGCCCCATACAATGGCAGTTAAAGACAGTCTAGCAGTGAGTCACGGGGTAGGGACAAAATAACCAACCCCGTGCCACCGTTGAACATAATCCCTCCCCTCCGAGGGTGGCAGGCCTTTTTACTTTCTCTGGAGGCAAAACTGAATAAGTGAATCCCTGTTATACCCGTTCCTTGCAGTTCTACCTATTACGGTATGCAGTCCTTCCAACCCCAGCCCTTCCTGGGACCCGTGCACAGCTGCATGGTCCAGGTGTTTCAAGAGGAAACACTTTCTTGCTAGGGAATGACTTGACCCCAGATAGCTCAGGCCATCCCCAGATGCTGCTGGAGGGACAGGGACACAGCGAACTGAATAAGCCCTGACACACAGTGAGTGGTCTACCAGTGGTCCATAGAGAAAGGACAGATGGCCTAGCCCTGGGTTGTCCTCCGCAGATTCTCACATGTCACTTAATCCAGCCTGTAGAGAGGGAATGGGATCCCATGGGAGGGAGCCCTGGTATGGGCTCTGGCTGTTTAGAGAGAGCCCTGAGTGTGGGCTCTGGCTGTCTCTCTGGAGATCCTTTGAGGATAACAGGGAGCTGTGGGGGGCTCTGTACACATGGAGAGTGGATGAGAGTCATCAAGCAGACCTATGCTGAGCCCACCCACCAGGGAAGGGAAACAGGCCCTGCCACATGAGCCACGGCCTGCTGGAACTGGGGAATGGCTGCTTTGGCAGGTCTGAGTGACCGCACCTCCTTCCTGCTCACCCCAGAAGCCCGGGCTTATGTCACAGTTGGCAGGAGGCTGAGGGACCATGTTCGTTGGGACATCCCTCTATTCTTCCTTATCCTCTTCCTCTTAAGTTTCTATTTTACTTTACTTCTCCCAAAGCTGAGTTTCCTTCCGTCCAGCTCTCAACGCGGGCTTTGATGAAGGTTATAGTGGCAGTACCAGCAGGTCTAAATCCCGATGGCTGTCCTGATGTTTTAGACGTCGTGAGATGGGTTCCTGCCCACCTTGCTGTGAACGGCACAGCTTATAAAGTAACTCTGCTTCACGCAGAGACAGGGAAGCGCCCGAGTCTGGACGATGCTCGCTTCAGGAACATCCCTGATGGAACTGTCTCAGCTATGTTCCCGGTAGAACTTCTCTTGGCGGCCCTCCCCTTGGGCATACCTCTGGTGCGGTTTGTGTGGTGAACAGGCTACAGGTGGCTGTGGTCCTTTTGGGCACTCCCATGTTCCCTTTCTTTCTGGTGTCGTGGATCCTGGGGTCAAAACTCCTGTGACTTCTTAGAGGCTGGGAACTTTGAGCAGTTCGTTTCCTGGCTTTTATCCTGCAATCCTACCCCGGGGAAGCACATCAGGAAAGCCCCAGTACTCTTCCAGGGAAGAGACAAGCGCACCTGCAAGGAAGGCAAGTGGCCCAGAGGACCCCGAGTGCTGGAGGAAGTGATGGACATCGAGGTGCAGATGGGATGGGGCAGAGGGACCCAGACACTCTGATTACGGTCTATGTAGGTGTGGAGATTTGGGGCTCCTCCTCTTCTGTTATTGCTCCTCCTTCTGCTGCCCTGCTAATTACACAAGTGTTGAGCCATCTGAAGGTGTCCCAAGGTCACTGAGATTGGTGTCCTTATGAATTTCTCTTGAGGGTCTAGGCTGTAGCTCCGTGGTAAAGTGCCAGATACCCCCTGGCTTCAATCCCCAGCACAACAAACACATGGAGTTATTTTTGTATCTCATTTTGGCTAATTTCTGGTCCTCTGTCTTCAAGGTCATTAGCATTTGGAGGTGCAGTGGAGATCTAGTCTAGGGCTTGGACTGGCTCAGCTTGTCATGTGATCTCCCACTGCACCAAGCCCCACCTCCAGAGATCTTTCTCCCCATCAGTCTTGCCCCCTCCCTCAGGTGTCTTGTATGTTGAAACTTTCTTCTCCAGACATAGTTGGCGGGGTATCTGTTGAAATTTGCTTTTAAAATTTTTAGTTTTTAAAATTAATCCAAAGACTGCATGCATGTTTGATGTCTGTCAGCTGTTCTGAGGGACATGTGCACCGTAGAAGCACAGCTGAAGCAAGCCAGCCAACAGCCCGTTACCTCACACACTGTTTTATTTAGTGGAACACTTACGGTCTGCTCTTTGCCTTTTCAAACACACATTTTATAATAGTCACGTCATGTCGGCTGAACTGAGTCCTCTGACCTTCTCAGGCCTTTTCCACACATGAGACCAGACACACAGCCATCTCTCCGTGTCTAACTGATTTCACTTGACATAATGTCCTCCGGGCTCATCCATGTTGTGACTGTTGGTGGGTATCCCCTTGTTTTCAGGGCAGAGTTGTATTCTACAGGCACACAGGCTGACTCCATGGTGTACCCGTTCAGTGCTCAGACAGCATAGAGGGCTGCCATTTCTCCACGACATGACCTCTGACCTTCTGGGAGGAGCCAGTGTGCATGTGGTCCTTCTGTTTTAGGCGTACATGTGCCACTGACGAGGCACAGCATCTCTTTGCTCTCTTGCCCAGCCTGGTCCTTCCTCTGTGTAGACAGTGATGACATATGTGGCTCTCAGAGCTTCTCCTGGCAAGGGTGAGGCTCACTATCTCTTACAGTTAAGAGTCCTTGGAACAGTCCTTTGCCTTGCTCCAGAACAGAACGTAGCACATGAATCAGGTGGTCATTTTCCAAATACAAGATGCGACTTACACTCAGAGAACTCAGAGAAACAACAAAGCAAAGCTAAAACACAATGCAACCAATCAGCCCACATGGGGGTCTGACTAAGAATGACTCCCATAGGTTCATTTATATGAATGCTTAGTCATCAGGGAATGGCACCATTTGAAAAGAATTAGGAGTATAACCTTGTTGGAGTCGATGTGACCTTGCTGGAGGAGGTGTGTAACTGGGAGTGGGCTTTGGGATTTCAAAAACCTCAAGCCAGGCCAGCTCTTTCTCTTCCCGCTGCCTGCAGATCTGGATGTAGAACTCTCAGTTCCTTCTCCAGCACCATGTCTGCCTGCATGCTGCCATGCTCCCTACCGCGATGAGAATAGACCAAACCTCTGAGCGGTAAGTCAGCCCCAATTAAGTGCTTTCCTTTATAAAAGCTGCTGTTTTTCACATCATGATGTTTCTTCACGGAAACAGAACACTGGCTAAGACGACCTATGAACAAGCATTTCTGAGGCCTCAGTGGTGCCGAGTGCAGCCATCAGCTGGGTGTATCTGTCTTTCCCGTGCTGGAGCTTTGCCTGGGAGGGACATGACCATGAGGAGCTAATCTCAAATGCAGAAGGCACAGTATACAGTATAAGAAAGTCTCCAGAGAGGCAAGAACGGCCAATGGGAGAAGGCCCCATCTTCCGCAGCCCTATCCAGATGCCACCATGCTGCTGCTTCCTGTGGAGGTGTCTGGAGGCTCAGTCGTACTACCCAGGTGTGTGTGCACATGTTGTCAGAGTTACTGTCAGCTGTGTGTTTGCAATCCTCTTTTCCTGCAGCCTCCCTCAGAACTGTTGTTCCATGCCTGCTGACCAGGGCCAAGCTTGCTTCCTGGCCACTGCCATTCCTCTGGGTTTGAACTTCCCTTCAGGCATCAGTATCTGATTACTGAACACTTCTGCTGTGTTTGTCATCCGTGGTCAAGGCCATCCAGCGGGGTTAGATATGAGTGACCAGACTCCAGCTCCGCAGGATCCCCGAGACCCTCGTGTCCATGCCTACACCAGCATCGACTGCAAGCCACCAACACGTTCTCAGTAGAGCTTGCTCTTGGCTCATCCAGGTGAGCTGCTTTCCGGACATCAAGCTCCGCCCCTGCTGCAGTCTGGCACTGTGTGCTGTCTTCCTTCCCAGGAACACATCCGGAGGCTGAATGAACAGAGCCAGCCTCAGAGGATACTATCACCTATCAGACTATCAGCCTGTGGGGGACGACAGCTGCTCGTCCAGCCCCACCCTCCAACAAGCCTGCGAGCCTGTGCATCCTCCGTCAGCGGTAGCCGCTTGCTGTGTTCTTTTGCTCTGAACGCGAACACCATCAAGACTTAAGCTGCAGCAAAAAAAAAAAAAAAAAAAAAAAAAAAAAAAGCCATCTGGAACTTTCAGTCCACGGAGGTGCTGAGGTCACACTGTCCAGGAGCCATTTGGGAGTCCTGGCTTGTAGCCCTGCTTCACTCATTGATGAGAACAAACTGGAGAGAGTGTCTGTCTTTTCCCAGAAGACACCTGGCTGTGTTGCTCAAGCCCTTATTGTCATGGCCACCCCACCCTGTGTGCTGTCACGAATCTCCTACCTTTGTCTCAGGCAACGCCACCTGGCATGGCCCCTGCAGCCACTTGGCATGCTGTGGGAAGTGGGACTGCCTGAGAGCTCCCACTGAGGTGGGAGAGGCCTAACTGCGTGGCAGCTTCAAAACTGAAGGAGAACGGCTCGGGAGATGGTTCAGCCAGGAAAGCACCATCATGCAAGTACGAGAACCTCAGTTCGAATTCCCGGTACCCATCTATTTCCCAGTAGCTGAGCACGGCAGTGCACATTTGTGACTCCAGTGCTCGGGTGGTGGAGGCAGGAGGATTCCTATTGCTCATTGACTGGCCCTCTTAGCCGATTCAATGAGGTTCAATAAGGGACTGTGTCTCAAAAACAAAGCAAAACAAAAAGCTGAAGAGTCATAGAGGAAAGCATCTGGCATTGCCCTCTGACCCCCACATGCAGGCACGCACTCACACATGTACACTTAATGTGAACATGTACATACACCATATGTGCATGTGCACCACATGGCAAGGAGGAGGCCTGTCTGCTCTCAGCAGCTGTGTGCCCTTAGACAAGTTAGATCACCTACCTGAGCCTTTGTTTACAAAAACGGCACAGGTGGGACCCCTGGCAGCACAGCCCACAGGAGAACAAATAAGATTGGCACATGACCTAAGGCACAGTGGCTTTGAAAGAAAATGGGCCCCAAGGGGAGTGGCACTATAAGGAGGTGTGGCCTTGTTGGAGGTAGTGCACAACTGTGGGGGCGGACTTTGCAGTCTCTTGCTCAAGCTTCCCTCAACGTGACTTTCAGTCAACTTCCTGTTACCTGTAAGATGTGGGACTCTCAGCTACTTCTCCACACCATGTCTGCCTGCATGCCGCCATTCTACCAGCCATGATGATAACAGACTGAGCATCTGAAAGTGTAAGCGAGCCACCCTTTGTAAGAGAGGACCGTCACGGCCATGGTGACTTTCTACAGCAATAAAAGCCCTAACTGAGACAGCGTGCCACAACTGACAACCCTCACTTCCGCTGAGGGAGTGCACTGAGGCACAGGTCCCTTGCACCTCATCTTCCAGGTCTCCCCTCCCCTGCCCATTTGGATCAGCGTGGTCACCATAGACCTCACACAGCCAGCTCCAAACGCTCCCTGGCCACCACGGGACCTCTCACTTCAGACCCTCCATTTGACCAAACACAGCAGTTCATTTCCAGAGCACAGTTACAGGTTTTCTCCAACATTCTGGTCCCTTCTCCCTTGTGTGCATGGTGACAGCATTGTGATGGGACCCCTGCCTCTTGTCCTTCCTCCAGTTGTCAAGACTTCCTCCAAGTCTTGTCCTTCCTGGCCTCTGAGATTCTTCCTGGGGCTTTCAGCATATAGCCTTCCATTCATTCATTCACTCATCCATCCATCCATCCATTCATTCATCACACACTATCACCCGCCCATCCTTCATTCATCCAGCACCTATCCATCCCCCGTTTATCACGCATCCCCCCAACACCCGGTCATCACCTCTCCACCACCCTCCAGCACCCGTCCATTGTCCATCACTCTGTCGTCTACCACCCTCCCCTACTCATTCATCCTCTATCTTCTCTCTGCCACACAGTCATCCATCTTATCCGTCCATTCACACATCCGCCCTTTTCACAAGCTGATGACTCAGGTCTGCTCTCAGCTCCACAGCATAACCGCTGAAAGTCACACACTTGGCGGGGAAGCTAATGTCAAGAAAATTAACCAGCAAACGGGGCATCAGCTTTCTTTCCGTGCCCTTCCCCTCAGGATCTGGCCGTCTCTCTGGCTTCTCCTCTCACCCCCCTCACCTACCACAACCCAGGAACTCAGTGAGAACTCCCCTCAGCCTGGAGAGCTGGTCCTTGTACCTTTCCCAGTGAGTTCCTTTCCACTACTCAGGAAGCAGGCTGCCTTCAGTGTGCAACCTGAAGACGGACTGGCTGAATGACGAAGGCAACATTTGGCTAATGCGCCCACCAAAGAAGAGTCATAGGCAACACTACTAGGAAGACAGTTGTCCACCTTCCAGATTCTCTGCGTCTGGGGATGGGGGAGGAGGGCTTGCCATGGGCATTCTGGCTAAAGGCCATGGTCTCCCTGTCCTCTGTGTACATTCAGCTTCCTGTGTGCAGCTATCGTGCATACATGAGAGCTCAAGTCTTCCTCCCGGCTCTTTTCAGCCAAGACCATCCTGCCCTTTAACCCAGAGCTGCCTTACCCCACAAGGGTCACCTGAGGGAGGGTCAGTGTCACACATTCCCGTGTCGTCTGTGACTGTTTCCTCTGTGGCATGTCCCCCTTCCCAGTCCCAAGCTCTGGGTTCCTAATTTCGAGTTAAGAATGCTTTAAGGTTTCTGGGTTTATGTGGACCCGAAAAGCAGAACCAGGAATCTTGTTCATGAACTCTGAACTTGAGGCTCCCCCTGTAATGTTTTCATGAAGCTTCTCCCCAAGGTCCCTGCACTCTGGGTGCCTTTCTAGGTGTCTGAAGGCCCAGGAGGAGGCAAGAGCCTTGCTCTGTCTGTGGTTCCTCAGGGGAGGAGGGCAGGAAGCTCGCTTCTTCCTCCCCCACGTCTCCCAGGCCCTCCTCCCCCAGGCCCATCCCTCACTGCTGTTCCAAGGAGGCGGAAGAATGTCGTAGATGCTGTAGCTGTTTTTCTGGAAGACTGTGAAGGCGCATTAAAATATGTGGTCCGTGGGCGTGAGCTGGGCTGGGGCCTCACAGCTCCCTGATGGGGGAAAGCACCATGGAGATGTGGTGGGGAGGGAGGCAGACAGACAGACAGACAGTGGAGGCAGATGGAGAGAAAGAGCACGATCTTTCTGAGGGTCTGGCCCCTGGTATGGCCTCTGGTTTTCGGTCCTGCACGCAGATTTACGAGGGTTTATCCTAAGCGTCTACAGTGTGAGGCCATGGATATACACCGTGGTTATTTTGGGGAGTAGCAGGGAACCGCTCATGGAAACTGCCTGCCTGGCCTCTCTGCCCCCTCCCTGTGCCCTATTCCCTGTTCCTCTCTAAGGAACTAGCAGGATGCAGGCAGAGAGGGTTCACGGCCGGCCAGCCCCTTGGTTCAAGTGGGAGCCCCTGGCTTGCAGGCCAAGCTGGTTGCTGGGGATGGCCTGGCCTGTGAAAAGATGCTGAGCAGAGAGGAACGGGGGCAGGATGGGGAAATCTAGTGGGGGGGAGGCTGTGATCCGAGAGAGCAGGAGAAAATATGAGCTGAGCAGAGTGGAGCTCCGCCCCATCTGAGCCCCTGTCCTCTACTCTGGGAAGTGAGGCTCAGCATGTGGCTGGTGGCCATTCTCTGGCCCTGATCTGCCAGGAGCAGGAGAGGTTTGGGGAAGCTGCATCCCTCAGGTGCAGGGTGGCAGCGCCACCCTTCCCAGATGCTGGCCGGTACTCTCCTTTGAACCATCTCCAAATCCTGTTGTGCCAATCTTAAAATATCTTCACTCTCCTGCACCCAGTACCCTGTTATCACATCCCATCCCTTGCTATACCCAAGGCTAATGGCCTCCCATCTCTGGGCTGGGCTCTTCAGGCCTGAACCCTGACCACTGTGATTTGCTCTAAAGCATGGCATCACCCTCCCCAGTCGTGAAGTATGGGGTCTGCTGGCTGCGTTGAGGTGGCCACCCTTGTTCTCCCTCTGGGGGTTCAGTCCGCAGTCTCCTTGACAGAAGTCACATGACCCCATGTGGAAACTTGGTGTGGGCAGAGGAAGGAGAGCCATCTTGAGCCCCACTAAAAAAGGGGGCAGAGCCTTGATCCAGCCTCACCTGATGATGTCTGTGCTTGCCCAACTTGGGTTGTTGGTTCAATTTTTTGAGACAAGGTCTTGCTGTGTAGCCCAGACTGGTTTGAACTTTCTGTTTCGGCCCCCTGTGACTTCATTACTTCAAGAAGTACTGCTCTGTCACTAGTGTGTGATTGACAGGTCGTATAGGAGGGTCAGACAATAGCCTCAGCTACAGTAGCCTCATTGACCACACCCCTTTTTCTCAGCCACTTTCCTCGTACAAGGTACAGGCAGTGTCCTTGCCGCTAGCTGAAGGGAGCAGGCAAGATGGCCGCCCCTCTGCAGTGTTTGCTCCTACATGACCTCCAGAAGCCCATGTCCTCTGACTCGCCCTTGGTGTGTTCAGACATCTATTTCTGGGCTTGCAAGTTACTGGGCTTCTGAAACTCTTGTGCCGTGGCCCCACAGCAGCAGAGCCTCTTAAAGGAGAGCTAACCCAGGGTCAGAGCTGGGTGCAGACGCAGCTTTTCGGTCGCGCTGGAACCACGGGTAAGAACTTGGCCCACTGCCCTTTACAGCAGGAGGCGGAGTCTCCACAGCAGACAGGTGTGAGCGGCACCTTCCCAGACGTCCCAGGCTCTGCGCATTCCCGCGGACATGTACCCATCTTCCCGCAGCCTGATTTTTTTACACCAGATTTATTGACGTACAATTTGCATACCATAAATCTGCCCATTCGGAGTGCGCAGCTTGTTGGCCGGCAGGCTCATTGGTTTCTTAACTGTCGCCGGCATCGGTCTTAGAACCGCGAAAGGAAAGCTGGATGTGAGCTCTTGGCCCTCACCCTCACCGCTGTCTCCTCTCGTGGGCCGCCATCTGCCTGCCTCCTGTCTATAAAGTCCTCCTCTAGAGCAACCATGCCACCCATGGCTGTTGGCAAATGGACCTCACTTGGCTCACCTTCTCTGGGACCTTCCCTGCTCTGCTGTGTCTCAGCTGCCTTCCCTCTCGAGGCGGAATCGTATTCTGGTGTTTGGACAGACCCCATTTCATTTAGCTCTCCTCACTCATGACTTGTAGGAGGGCTCTACATTTTGCTTATTTGCTTATTTATTTATTAGTTTTTCTTTTTTATAATTTATTCCTATTTTATTATGTGCATTAGTTCTGCCTGCAAACATGTCTGTGTGAGGGTGTCAGATCTTGGAGTTACAGACAGCTGAGAGCTGCCGTGTGAGTGCTGGGAATTGAACCCGTGTCCTCTGGAAGAGCAGTCAGTGCTCTTAACCATCAAGCCATCTCTCCCAACCCCTACATTTTGTCTCTGAGCATCAGCAGCTTTTATGAAGGCATATACTTTTCTGTTATCTTTTAAAATGATATTCATACTTTTTCTTTCTCTTAGGAGTGGACTTTTGCCTAGGAATAGGCTGGTCAGTTAGGTTCTGTGGGGGCGGGGGTTCCTCATTACTTCCTCACCTGCAGGGCTCAGTGCCATTTCTCTAGCCCCTGCCCACATTTGTCCTCTGTCCCAGCTGAAGAGGAGCGGAGTTCTCTTTTAATGAGCAGGCTGGCTCTTCACTCACTGTCTCAGAGGTGTCTTCTCTGTCACAAGCCCATTTTGGTTTCTCGGTGTAAGAAGTGTGCCCTGTTCCCTCTCTCCCTTGACAGAAACGCACATTAATTCTGCCTTGGACTGCAAAACACACACACGCACACGCGTACACGCACACACACACACAGGCCCCAGGGGACTTCTCCCCTCCACAGGGTTCCCAGACCAGGTTCTGTCCAGATCTGCTATGTGACTTTAGGGCAAGCACAGAATGTCTCTGGGCTCTTCTCCAGCTCCCTGCCTTACTTCCTGCTACCTCACTACTTGGGTTCTCCCACACCTGCCCTCAGCAGCTGCATTTAAAACATCTTTCTAGCAACGGTCCCACAGGCCCCTGCTCTGGTCCTAGGATCTCCCCTCTACTCCTGAAATCCTGAGACCAGACATTCAGAGAAGATAGCAACCAGCTCAGGGACTTGCAAAGGGGGTCCAATACCTCCAGCCCAAAGCTTCCATCCTGGCCTCTCTACCAGTGACCTTGAGTGTCAGGCTTTGCTCTTCCCAGCGCCAGTGTCCCCTCCTAAGGACAGGCTGGCAACTGTGCCCAGCACCTGCTTGTCCTTTAGACCTCCTCCATCTCTCTCCCTCCAGGCCACTCTGAGCCCTGAGGGGGCATGGTCACCATGGCATCATCCAGGCCTCTGAGCCCTCTGATCAGGGGAAGGTTGATCAACAGGATGTGTCCTTGGTGCCTGAAGAGGTGAGAGGAGGAAGGGGAAGGAGCTGTTTCATCTCCACTCTCCCGAGCCGCCACCCCTGCAACTCTGGCAGTGTTTAAAGGAGGCCTGGGCTCTGGAACAGCCTGGCACATCCTGCCACTGTTCCTACCTTCCCTGGCTGGCACCTGCTCCCTTGTGGCTATAGGCCAGGGCTACTCTGGGGTCCTTCCCTTGTCTTGGGCTTTTCTCACAGAGTTCTAAGGTCTGCCTTAGTCCATGATGCGATGCTGTAACAAAGTAGCTGAAGCTGGGTAAATCAAAAAAGACTTTTTACTTCTAGAGGCCAAGAGCCTTAGGGACACGTCTGGTAAGGCTCCTTCTGCTGTGTCACCACATAACCAGGAGCAGTATGTCACACACACACTGAGAGACACAGAGAACAGACACACAGAGAGGCACAGAGAAAAAGAACTGACACACACAGAGACATACATAGAGAACACACACACACAGAAAGACAGACCGATACATGCACACACAGAACACACATACACAGAGACAGACAGACACACACAGAGAGAGACCACAGAGAGAGAGAGAGAGACAGACAGACAGACAGACAGATACATGCACACACAGAACACACACAAAGACAGACACACACAGAGAGAGACCACACACACATACACAGAGGCAGAGAGACACAGAGAGAGCAGACACACACACACAGACAGAGACATATACAGAGAACAGAGAGAGACAGACAGACAGATACACACACAGAGAAAACACATACACAAAGACACACACACAGAGAGAACAGAGAAAGAGACAGACACACACACACACAGAGACCACACACACATACCCAGAGACAGAGAGACACAGAGAGAGCAGACACACACACACACACACAGAACAGAGAGAGAGACAGAGACAAACAAACAGACAGAAAGACAGACAGATACATGCATATACAGAACACACATACACAGAGAGAACACACACATACACAGAGACACACACAGAGAGAGACAGAGACAGACAGATACACACACACACAGAACATACACAGAGACAGACAGACACACACAGAGAGAACACACACAAATGCAGAAACAGATAGACACACACACACACAGAGAACACACATACAGAGACATAGACACTCAACAGTCATACAGAGACACACAGTGCCACACATCCTTTCACTTGTCCCCAGTCCTTCCGTAATGGCTTGGTCAATCCACTAACCCTGATGGCCCCACACGCCAGCACCACAACACTGAGGGTTAACTCCAACAAGTAAGCCTGGGGGACAGTCAGAGCCTAAGAAGCACAAACGAGCAAATGACACATGAGCACCAGTCCCATAGGCCTCCTCTCCGAGGCTGTGTCTGTTGCTCTTGACCTCTTCCCTTGCATGATGGTCTGGAGAAGTTTCTGCCTAGGGGAGAACGTAAGCAGAGACTCATCTTGGCCACAAGAAGGAAAAAAGACCAAAAGGAGGGGACTTGGTCTGGGGAAGGAGTTGCTTCTGGGCCTGAGCAGGTGACACACAGTTGTCCCCACACACCAAATTGGCTCCAAGCCTGGCCAATATAGACACCCAACCTACTCAGAGGACACAAACAATGCCTGAGCCATAGCCCATACACTCAAAGTGATAAAGAAGATGACCCCTTGTAGACAGCACCCACAACTGGGGCTCATTCATCTCCCCATCTCCTAACCATACCCCACTCAGCATCCTTGAAGGACTCAGTGTAGGCCTGGGCTGGGGCAGGCAGCCATGCATGTCTGAAAAGCTGGAGAGACAACTCAGGTCAGAGACCTGCGTGTGTGGCAAGCAGCATGTCTTGTCGGTGCATCTGGCATTGGGGAGGGGCTGTTATAGTCTCCCCAGGTGTGGTCCCTGGCCAGAAGAGCCATGTCCTTGAGGTCTCTTCTTTCCCAGGGCTGCCCTCTTCCCTGAGAAGAATATCTGCTCTACCCTTTTGTCACGGAAGTAGCCTGACCTGAAAGCCCCCATGCCACTTATGTTGATGGCGTGTCTCCTGCTGGCCTGAAACTGTGCAAGCTGTACTTCAGTCCTGATAGCTCCTACCCAGGGGCCTTTGTGTAGTGAACAGTCATGCAGTGGTCCTGGCTGGTCCAGCTTGCTGCAAAGGTGAGGACAAATCGCCTCTTTCTGAGCCACAGTGTCATCCTCTGTCACGAGTGGAGCTTGTCGTGGGGGAGAACCACCCACAGCACTGCCTGGGAAATTAGGGACAGCTCCTTGGTCACTGCTGTGGGCCATGCAGTCATGACAGAGAAAGACACGCTCTGAAGGAATCAGAACGAAGAAAAGGCAGGGGGCTGCTGCCCCAGGAATCGGGACCAAAGTGAAGACCTCTGCAGAGAGACACCCTGTCTCACAACCCCAGACTGCCCGTTCTCTCCACACCAGCCAGCATGGCACAGAGGGAACACGGCAGAATCACAGCACATGCCAAGCATCAGGGACACAGACACCGTCACTCTCATTCTGCAGACAAGGAAGCTGTGCCAAGAAGGCAAGCTCCCTGCTGGCTGCAAGCTGGTGAATTGCCATGCGGGGGCCAGGGCCGGATGTCTTAGCCAAGACCTTCTGATGCGTTGACACTTGTGTCTTTGCGGCCCGAGGACACTGTGGCCCTGGTTCAGTGTGGTAAGTCCCTGCAAATGCATACTGGCGTGTAGCTGGCTAACCACAGTAGAGGGGAAAGCAGTAGGAGGTGTTTTGAATCCCACTCTGCCAGAGATGAATCCTTAACAGACTGGAGCATCCCAGCCTCTCGTTCCAAATGGGGAAACTGAGGACCAGAGACATGGAGTGTCAGAGTTGGGATTGGATCACAGAACCCATTTCTCTGGGTACTGGGTCTTCCTCTCTCCCCTTCTCCATTCCCACCCCCCCCCCACCTTCCCCACCCTCTGGCTGATGGGACTCAAACCCAAGGCTTCACACGTTCTAGACGAGCACTCTGATTCCTCACTGCTAGGATCCTCTTTCATTTTTGAACCAACGAGGGCATAGTCCTGCTAGCATTCAGAAGATCCTGAAGTCATATGGAGAAGGGGGAAAGCTCAGAGAGGTGAAGCAGTCTACCCAGCACCACACAGCAATGTGACCACGGATCTTAGATAGAGACCTAAATCCATCTGCCCCGGTGCAGCTTTCTGTGCCTGCAGAAGTCTCCATGGGCTGTAAAGTGGCGCTCACATCAAAGGATGGGAGGTTGGCCTAAAATAGCACTTCCCTGGGAGTCCGCTTTCAGTGTGAGGCCCCTTTGTAGCCCAAGCCCTATCCAAGTACAGCTCGTGGCTGCCCACCTGTCACTCCTGCCCCTTGAATCAGGGCTCACAAAACTTCAGAAGCCTCCCAGAATGTACGAGGTGGTAGATCGTTGCCTTCTGTCCAGACGAGGCTGATTCTAAGCAGGAAAG